TCCTGTATATGGAACTGAAACAAATCACAGAAGGGGGCTAGATTTAACAATTTTCATGTTGCTTCTATTGGGAGATATTTCAGAGGTTCTTTGGTGGGAACTGAAAGAGGGAATGATGGGGCTGGCATTCTAACTGGTAAAAAGAACTAAGACTGAAACTATAGATTCCAATGTCTGGGTCAGAAACACCTGGAATGGTAATGATGGGGGTTGGGGATGTCCTAGAGAATCTGCTGAGCCAGAGGGTGGCAACTTTCCAGGAAGAAGATAGATCCCTTCCAGAGTTGAGGTATGAGAACATGCAACAGTCGAGCTAAAAAAATGTCTTAAATTTTCATTGATCTGTTTCTTTCAGTTGAGGGTGGGAGCGTGTGTGTAGGGAGTATCACAAACAAAAAACAAGAAGTTTTTTATTTTGAGGAAGTATGTTTTAACTTGTATGAGCTCCAGTCTTTGTTTTCACAGACCTTTTAAAACAGAGCTATCACCTTAAAGCTGTGTGCTTTTTTAACAAACAAACTATTTTTTAAAGGGTGTTCAAAGATATATTCTCAGAAATAGAAGTATCCAAAGTAGAAGATTAAGAGTATTTGATACATGAATCTTCTATTGATACAGGTATTTAAGGAGAAACTTCTTATTGAAATCTGTTCAAAAGATGGGTGAGGGGATGTACTATATTGGCCAGGCATAAATATATGAATGTTGGGGCTGTGTCTGAAAAGTTGTAACTTACATTTGTCATCATTTTCAGTATGATCCATAGTCCCCATATACATGGAATTAAATCGGTCTTGAGACAATTTAACTGAAGTGAATAACTAACTGAATAACGTGTGCAGATGCACTTTTGTTGAAGTACTGGATGACTTAAGTGGAGCCAAATGAAATAAAGGGAGAAAGCCTGGATTCTTTAAGGTTAAAAGTCTGTCTCCTGTTGGGAGAGACAGCCCCTCCCTGGGTCTCTCCCTCACCTATACATCTTGCTGAGTGAGCCAAGAATGCAAGGACCCAACCATTTCTCAAGGTTGTGTTTGCAGCAAGAAACCTCAAGGGATGAGGCAATGTATATCTTGAGACAAAAAGCCAGCTTGCTTACTTCTGGCTACAAAATAGCATATTCTCCAAACTCAGAGTTCCTCTCCTATAACACAGTTCACTGCCTATGCAGGCATCCGTCTTGGCCCTCAGCAAAACTCACCCCACAATGGGAGTAGGGGGCAAGGAGGGAACCAACACAACATGCTTTCTGTGCCAAGAGTACTAAAATCATGTCTCTCACCCAGGTCTCTTGTGTCTTCTGCCAGCATCCATGAAACAAGAACAGGTAAACCTGTTCGCTTACAAGCAGGGTAAAATCAAATCCCAGGCCCAACACCTCCCCCCATCCCTTTTGGTTCAGTTTAAAATCTTCTGCTGAGGCCATGGCTTCTATGCTGAAGGTGAAGTGCTTGTATGGGAATATGATGGAGAAATGGCGTTTGCACAGGAACTCTCTTCCCACACCCCAACCCCAGTTCCTTCAACACACTTAGCAGAAAAAAATTGTACTACTCAGCTTCTGAATGAAAAAGGAAGAGACAGAGATAGAGGGTGAGTCCAAGGTGATCTGACCTCCTATCCCTAGGAAACCATAACCATTCACAGAAGTGACAGATCCCATGCAACCCTCAGCAGGGTGATTCCTGTCTGAAAAGAATGCTCACTGCATATACAAAATGGTAACTTATAGTGTCACCTGCCCACAAGCAGAGAGCTAATCTGAAGCAGTTAAATTCTCTGGAAGGCATGGGATGAGGCTACTTTTGGAAAACACCAGGCAGTTCAAAACAAATTACTGGTCCAAGCCCAATGCTTGGTTGACCTGTTTGGATTTAGGCAATCTATATTCCACACATGGGGATCTTGTTGAGCCCAATCCACAAGCGACCTGCAAGAAAATGACTTTGTGCTCATCTCGGGGGAGACCATGTGGTTACAACAGAATGAAAAACTGGACAACCATGGGGTGTTTTAATCTATGCAAAAGTTTGGGTGTTTGCACTCAAGCTCTCTGCAGCTCGTAACTTGCTAATTTAAATTCTCTGAGTTTGTTTTATATGAGATTGAAAACTTCTTGGGATAGGCTAAAAACATCTGGAATCTATTTTATAAAGGCAATCTAGGATTTCAAGGATTTAATGTGATATAAAACTACAAATGAGATAGATTACATACAAACACACAATGCTTTGTATGAATTCGTTCTTGTATAAACCAGATAGTATTATAAACCATAGAAGTTGTTTCATGTCAACTTTTGGGGTAGTTTTTTAAATCTCTAGTAATTCTTGATATTATTTGGATTGTGTTTTGGGACATTTTTATTTGACTTTTGGAAAGTTAGACTAATAAAATACTGAGTTAATGAATATTTCTATTTAGTTAAAGATCGTACATGGGATTCCGCTTATATGAAATTCTGAGATAGTGCTTGGTCTTCCCCTGGGGGGAAGCTAGAAATTTTGTTTTTCTTTTCAGGTATTTGGGATGCTAGTGAAATTGACAAGGGGGTAGTCTGGAATTGCATATTCAGGAAACAATTCCAGATGTTTAAGCAGAGAGTAATAAAATAAGCACTGCTTTAATAGGACAATATATAGCATGGCACATTAAAATCTGTTACAGGGGGAAATTAGTGTTCTCCTATAAGATAAAAAGAAATCTAACTAAATCAGAAATGTTAATATGATCCCAGGACATTTTTTTACTCTGTCATAAAAGAAGTTCTACCCAAGGTCTCACATGAAACAATATAAATTACATCCTTAGCAACCTGTCTTGGTCCCTAGTGTTATTCTCCCACTTCTGAGACGATTTTAATTCTTAATTCTCCTTTGGGACTCATATCTGCCTTACCCTCTGGCTGACTTAGGTGTGCCCCCACACTCGCTCTTCTTGGTTACCATAGGTGAAGCCCTTTTGATGTTAAACTCATGATCAAATCTACTTTAATCCTTGAGGACTGCATGAATTTATATGTATTTTAAGAAAGCTGTTTCAGAGTTTCATGGAATCCTTTGTAGATTCTTGTTTCCTGGGCTCTGGGGTGTTGTTAGATTCTGTTTTCCTCTAGTGGATGTTGTAAGCACAACCTGAATTTAATTGTGTTAGAACTGTATTACTTTTATCAGGAAGAGGAAGGGGCAACACAAGATAGGTCAGAAAGAAAACGGCTACGCTCCAAGCAAAACAGCCTTTTCATCTGTGAATTCCACCAGGACCTCTCTAGCACTATGGAATAAATATGATTTAGACCCACACTACTATCTTTATTTAGGGAACTTCCCATTGGAAGAATGTTTTAACACAGGGATGTAAAGTACACCATAGAGAATATAGTCAATAATATTGCAACAACTAAGTATAGTGCTAGGTAGGTACTAGAGGGGGGATTGCTGCATAAATTATATAAATGTCTAACCACTATCCTGTACACCTGAAACTAATATAAAATAATACTGAATGTCAACTGTAACTGAAAACAATAAATAATTTTAAAAAAATATTTTAATTCTTCCACATACAGATATATTTTGTGAGAAAAGAGGGAACAAGGATTACCTTCTTTGTAGAAGAGAATAATAATAAATTAATAATAAAATATATCTGGAACATCAAGAAATAGGTAGCAAAGAATCAGGGAAAGCTTGCAAATATCAGGAAAATAAAAAGTCCAGAAAACATAAACATAAACAAAACTGTGGGGGGGGGGAGGGTGCGGGTGCGGGGAGAGTTGAAGTTAAAAAAGAAAAAAAGAGCTATAAGAATTTTTAAAAATTATAAAGTACTTTAAAGACAAAGTACTTAAGGACAGATAAAGAACCTCCTATAAATAATCATCCGAATCTGAATAATACACTGAAATAGTCCCCTTGGTGCACTGTAAAGTATGAAATTTTAATTATGTGATTTTTCTAGCGAATTTCCGCTTCAAAAACAGTAAAGTACTTCTGCTTACAAGGTGGCAGACACCAGAACTTTTCTGAATCTCTCACATGCACGCTGTCATCAAAGTTTAAATTAGCAGAAACATGCCTTTGAGTTAAATCACAATTAGCCCGTAGACAGGTCTATTTGCTGGGAACACACTCTGTGCCAAACACTGGCAGCATATACTAAACAACAGTTTGCATTTCTGAAGCACTTTTTCCTTTTCAGGTTCTCATAAATGACATTTTAAAACAAACTATATTTGTTTTTCAGCATTAACTACATGTGCTGATGACATGTATTGTTATAAATCGGTCCTACTCAGGAAAGTTTTTGCTTTTAAAAGAAAAAAGGGGAAGGGGAATATAATCAATAATATTGTGATAAGTTTGCAAGGTGATAGATGACTATTAGAATTAGTGAGGTGATCACATTGTAAGGTATAAAAATGTCGAATCACTATATTGTACAACTGAAACTAATATAACCAATATAAGATTGTAACCAAGTATACTTAAATTAAAAACATAAATTAAAAAAAGACAAAATCTATCCACTTGTACTCTTGTATACATATTTGAAATAGTTATGTATGGAAGTCAATAAACAATGATAAATACAAACAGGCTGTCTGACAAAATAAAACAATTTCCAGGGAATATAAATGGCACATTTGTTGGAAGATGCCCACAAATAACTAATTACTTTAGCACAATAAAGATATTCTCTTAATATTAGAGTGTCTTATGAGAGGATACTCATTACTTTCTAACCATCTGTCATCACTCCTCCCCAAAAAACTAATTAGGGTTTCATCCAATCACACATTATAAATCATGCAAATGTGGATGGCAAAAAATGGTTCAAAGAAGTTAATATTATAACATTTTGTATTTCAAAAATCACAGGCTTCAGAACTAGCCTTTCATGTTCTAATAATTACTCTGATTGTTTTTCTCATCTTTTCCTGATTTATTATTAGATAGTAAACTTAGAAAATTAAAAAAAAAAAAAAAAAAGAAACTTACAGGTAGTAGAGTTTTCCTGCAGCAGGAAGTTCCCTTTTCCGGTAATCTATCCCAGAGTCTAGCTGGACCGTATTACAGTACTTCTACAATCCAAACACATAAAATATCTTTTTAAACAAGTGTTGGCTTAGAATTATAATCTTTCTACTATCAAAATGTTTTAATTTTTGAAATTTTCCTCAATAAAATAATGCGTTTAGGATAAAATAACATAACTCATGTAAGATTCATAAAAGTTATAGTAAATATCTATCAAGTAAAAAAAACAGTTTAAAAAAATTAAGAGTTGAAGCATGCCTTCCTGAAACTTTACTAATTATGCTGTCAGAAAATTCCCCATATAACTGCTTTACTTTTTTTTTTTTTAATCCCAATTTCCATTACCCGGAAGTAAAAAGCTGGAGGCTATGAGAAAGAATAATTCATGGGGCTTAACCATCACAGTGGGAGAGGCAGCCTAAGAGTTGGGCAAGAACATTTGTATCCACATTTTAAGCCAGATGATCATGTTAAAGTGATGCTAGATGTATACTTGCCCTTCACTTCTAAATGACTGCCACTGCCCTTGTCCCTTAGTTCCTCTCCATCCATCAAAGTCTTCAGAGTTCCTTCGTGCTGTGAACACCTCCCTTCAACCTGAGTCATCCTGTGCTAGTAATGTCCTCTTCTCCCAATTACTCTTTCCTTTCTATCCCCCCACCCCAGGGGGCATATGTGCATAGAATCTCACACCACACACACACACACACACACACACACACACACACACACACACACCCTAAAACTCTTACAACAAAAGCATATGAACTTTTGCTATACCTATCTTGGTCAGCTGGCTTTTTTTTTGAGGGGAAGGGGGTTATATATCAGATAGATGATAGATAGATAGATAGATAGATAGATAGATAGATAGATAGATAGATAGATAGATGCATATTCATTCCAGTAAAACAACGATGAGCAAGGGTTTTCAGAACAATTAAAACATTTACAGACTGATCTTTCGTTAAAAAAATGAAAACTGCTTTATAAAAATTCATGAGAAAAAAATTATATTTTAACAACTTCACTACTTTTATTAATTAAAATTGCATTTTTGGGCCATGGTAATTGTGGCAGACTGTATTTTCCAAAGATGGCCGCGTAGCCTCTCCATTCCATGTGCTGTGATGTTGACATTCCAACCATGAAGAAATAAGATCTATTATCTCCCCCCTCCCCTTTGAATCTTGTGACTATGGTGAAAATGATGCTATGTAATAATATACTAGGGGACATTCGAGGTAGCTTCTTACTCATTGGCTGGAACACTTGCTCTGGAATCCTGAACAGCCAAGTGGGTATCAAAGTGCCTGGAGGTAACCATGCCATGAGAGCCCAAAGCAGCCCAGACACAGAGCCCACCTGGAGAGACTCTGAGATGACAAGAAGACAGAGGTGTCTGACCAGTCCCCAGCTGTCCAGTTATAGCCACTATGGTGCTGAGGGAGCCAGGACAGCCAGCAGAGCCTTTCTCAAATCCCTGACCCACAAAAACCAGGAGAAAGAAGGAAGTAACATTGTCTTAAGCCTCTAAATGTTGTGGTCATTTGTTATGCAGCAATAGATCATCAGGACAGTAATATCAGGGCACGCTTGAGAGGTAGCAACATTCTTCCTCCCTGACATTGCATTCTGGGTTGCACTGCTACGCAATGGCTGAGGGCTGTTTATCATCTGCACTGCAGGGAAGAGGCCGCACACAGTGGCAGTGAGAACGCCCTTCCCCTCTCCCCATGCTGCAGCTGCTATAGGCTCAGGGAAGTAAAGTGGGTGATCAACCGTCCCCCTCGGACTCTGCGGTTTCCCCAGGACTGAGGAATTTTTCTGGATGCAGGACTTTCAGTGCTGACACCATGACAGCCCTGGGCAAACTGGGACAGTTGGTCACCCTAGGAATAAAGGCCTAGACATCTGGGCGGAAGTCTGGAGTAGATATAGCATTTTGATTTATATAGTTAATCCATGAACAACATGGGACTTAGGGGTGCTGACCCCTGCGCTGTCAAAAATCCACATATAACTTTTGACTCCACAAAAACTTAACTACTAATAACCTACTATTGACTGGAGGCCTTACCAATAACATAAATAGTCAACTAACATATTTTTCATGTTATAGGTATGATATACTGTAGTTTTACAATAGAGGATGCTAGAGAAAAGATTATTAAAAAGATCATAAGGAAAATACATTTACAGTATTCTTTGAAAAAAATTCACTTCTAGTGGACCCGTGTTGTTCAAAGGTCAACTATATATTAGCAGTTGTGAATTTGATTAATATAAAATAATCCCCAAGAGGAAGCTGGTCCTCTGGGGAAGCCTACAAAGCTGAGGCTGTGAACTACACATGTGAAAAACAGCACCTTAACCTAACAGAGTCATGCCACCCTACAATGGTGACCCGAACAGCCTGTTGGCCTCCCCATACAGAATCCCTAGCTCATCATTCCAAGTTGTTCGAACCCACTGCCCAGGCCTCACTCTCAGAACTCAGGCCCTGTAACCCATCTCACCAGAAAAAACTACGGTTTTGCCCAAATACATGCATTCCACTCCCCCCTTGCCTCAAATGACCTGTAAAAAATAAAAGGTATAGCCATATATATCTCTCTTCTGAACCTGGAGTCAAGTCCTAAACCTGGGAAAAGAGATTCTTCCTGCCCACTTTCCATGCTATAATAGGGGGTGCTCAGCCACCCAGTACAAAGAAAAAAAGGAGAGGCACTTAAGTAGCACTTCTTACTCTCTTTCTCTGAGGGAAATCTGTCCTGGTATGATATGAGCAAATTATTCATAAGCTATCTGTATCACAGACATTATGAGTATAATAAATAGTATAGCAACATATTCATGTATTTGCCCAGGTTCTCTACTTCTTTTAAACTACAATTTATCTTATATGACTCAATATTCCTAATTTAGTAAAAAAATGTTCTTCTTTATTTTTTTGTCCTTAAAAAAATAAGGTTAATGGAAGTTATACAAGCTTCAATTTCACTTTCTGGGTAACTAACTTCTCTCTCATCTGAGTGATTAAGCCCTACCAAATGATTGCATTTGTACATTCCCTAATCACCACTGAGGAATACCTAATCAGCAGCAAAAGAGCTATAACCAAAGCCCTCACATGTTAGCTCTTAATTGTCTGAAAAATACTAACACGCGCTTGGTTTATATTTTTAAAGAAAAATAAACCTCCAGTTTTCAGATTTTATTTCCTTAAACTAGGTTCTTTGAAACACTTTGCAGAAGGGTGGAGGAAGGTGAAAGCTAAGATATTTCAAAGTTGAGAATGAATCTAGTCATAAGGGCATGATCTCTAAGTCATTTCCTCATTTTCAGGGATATTTGCAAGACCTGTGACCTCTTATCATCACCCATTTCAAATGCATAAAACTAATCAGCCACCAAATGAAATTTTATTTTAAAATAGTTTGTATATTTACATATACAAAGGACAAATACAATTACACAATCCAAAAACGCAACTAGGAAGTTTGGGGAGGGAAAGGAGGGAGTTAACACACTCCTGGGAACATACTCAAGAGTCAAAGGCCTTTAACTTTGGACAAAGTACTACTAAAAGAACCATATTTCAGCAGTTCGCATTTTCCTCAAGATCTATTGTGTATATTTTTAGCAGTTCTGAATAATACCATTAGAAAAATAGCCATCTCACAAAATAACTTTATATAGATTCTACTCTGGCTTTTCCCTTCCCAGACGGAACAAATGAACAATAAATATTGTGGAGAAAATCCTTTAAAACCACAATATATAAACTTCATGAGCAAAGATTGAAACAATAAAGATTTGCCTCACACACACACAAAAAACTATTAGAAACAATAAACAAATACAGTAAAGTTGCAGGATACAAAATCAATGTACAAAAATCCATTGTGTTCGTTCCTATATTCTAACAATGAAATGTCAGGGGGGAAAAATGAAAAAAGAATTCCACTTGCAATTGCAACAAAAAGAATAAAATGCCTAGGAATAAACCTAACAAAGGATGTGAAGGACTTATACATTGAAAACTACAAAACATTATTGAAAGAAACTGAAGAAGACATAAAGAAATGAAAAGATATTCCGTGTTCATGGATTGGAAGAACATACTTAAAATGGCCATATTACCTAAAGTAACACACAGATATAATGCAATCCCCATCAAAATCCCACTGGCGTTTTTCAAAGAAAAAGAACAAACAAATCATCAAATTTGTATGAATCCACAAAAGACCCCAAATAGCCAAACCAATCCTGAGAAAAAAGAACAAAGCTGGAGGTATCACACTCCCTGACTTTAAATTATACTACAAAGCTACAATAATCAAAATAGTATGATATTGGCAGAAAAATAGACACAAAGACTCATGGAACATAATTGAGAGCCCAGAAATAAACCCAAATGTATATGGGCAGCTGATTTTCTATACAGGAACCAAAAACATACAATGGAGAAAAGAAAGCCTCTTTAATAAATGGTTTAGGAAAATTGGAAAGCCACATGCAAAAGAATGAAACTAGACTATTTAACAACATATACAAAAATTAACTCAAAATGGATCAAAGATCTAAATATAAGACCTGAAATGATGAAAAATACATAGGAGAAAATGTAGGTACTAAACTTATGAAACTTGGTCTCAGAGAAGATTTTATAAATTTGACTCTAAAGGCAAGGGAAGTAAGTAAAAGCAAAAATAAATGAATGGGACTATATCAGACCAAAAAGCTTTTGCACAGCAAAAGAAACCATCAATAAAACAAACAGTCAACCAACCAAGTGGGAGAAGATATTTGTAAACAATGCCCCCGATAAGGAGCTAATATCCAAAATATACAAAAAACTCATACAACTCAACAACAAAAAAACAAACAATCCAATTAAAAAATGGGCAGAGGACCTGAACAGACACTTCTCCCAAGAAGACATAAAAATGGCCAACAGATATATGAAAAAATGCTCAACTTCACTAGCTATTAGGAATTTCAAATCAAAACCACAATAAGATACCACCTCACACTTGTC